ACGGCTGTGTTGAAATAAAATACAAAACATTTTAATTAATTGTATAATTTATGAAACATGACACTTTAATAGTTGTTCTTACACATGCTTATATATACATGTAAGTATAGATAGAGTATAAAATGTGAACATTATTACACATTATATGAATAGATGTTAAATTATAGTGCGTTCATGGTTATAGATCAGGTTTAACTGTTTTGTTAATTAAATATTTTATTTTTTTTCTTTTGATTACATTATTGTAAGTACTTTTATGATAAACCAATGTATAAATAAAAAAAAAACTAGATTTATATATTTTACATAATTAAAAATTATCAAAGTTAGAAAGTGAAAAATCGACTAAAAATAATCATCAAGGGCTTTGAATTAGTTTTAGTTGATTTCATAGCTATTAATATTAAAATGCTAATTACAGTTGAAACCTTAACAGTAATATCTGATTACGATTGAAAACCTTAACGATGACTACATCATTCATTAAAGACTTAATCTAATAATTTACAAGGAAATCAAATTAAAGTAAACGGGTTTAAAAAGTGAAGGGTTCAATTGGTATTTTTATCAAAAACCTAAAGTTCTTTAACGTTTCTTTTTCGATATTTACATTTCTACATGATTGAAAGGCGAAAACTTGAAAATTTAGTTATAAAACTGCCAGCTTATAAGTATAAATCAAAATCTGTGCAAAAGTCTAATTTTTCTCGAACAAATAAAAATTTTAATGAACCTCCTTATTAATAAACCCCTTCAATTATTTCAATTTCAGATTCAATCGATGAAATTTTGAGAAAAGATCTTACACCCTAATAAAACTTTTCTCTTTTAAACAATATAAAAATATTTTAATTACCTATATTGCAAGTTTTTCATATTTATTTTGTGATTTTTAAATTGAAATTCGAATTAAATTGAAAAATTAGATTTTTAATCTAAAAGGCGAATTATATGAACTCTACGTTCCTTGATATCATAATCTCATGATCTAAAAATAATAAATTAACATAGAACTCGCATATTAAAAGTCATCAAGCCGCCACCCCATCTATACATTTTTATTTTAAGAAATGAAGAAAATAATAAAAAAAATTTTCTAAAATAGATGGCACCCCATGTTCTAACAGAATTTCACAAAATAAATATTGCGTTCAATAATAATATGGTGGAAGAGAAAAAAACTGTAAATTCTATAAATTGATATTTGATATTTCGATAAAATTTCACGGAAATTTCAAATGACGCTGTGAAAATATTTTTTTGGTTTTTTGTATAATTTTGGGTGCGTCTATACAAGTTACAGGTTTTTTTCTTCTATTTGTTTCTCTAAAAATTAATTCCATATAATATTTTTCCGCTAGATTATAGATTGATAGTCAAAAATTCTTAATGTTAACTATTAAAAAAATAAAATATGCTTGTTTGTTTAATGTTCACAAAAATCTTCGTAAATAATGTAAATTTTTATGCTTTTTAAAGTATTAAATAAATTTTATTTGATTTTTAAGTTTTGGAATTGGATATTTGTGGTTATAATACTCTTTTATATTAATATTATTTTGCGAATATATTTGTATACATATACGACTTAATTTATGACGACTTTTGGTTAATTTGTTTAAAATTACACATGAATTGATAAAATGTTAACAAAATGTAAAATAAAAAGATAAACCGTGTCAAAAATAACTCACTATAAGTTGATTTTTACCTTGATAAAAATTTTTTATTGAAATCATATAAAAAATAATTAAAAAATAAATAGGAAAAAGGTACAACGCAGCAGGAAGTTTTTTTTTTGTTTTTTGTTAGACTAAGAAAGCTTTACTAATTTCTTGAATATAAAAAAAAAAAAAATTATAATTTTTTTCTTTTCTTTTCTTTACGATGATTTCTTAATTATTAATTTTACAATTTTTATTTAATTAATTTTTATTAATAGTAAAGTAAGATTGGTAGCGGTTTTCATTTAAACTGTTAATTGTATAAATTCTAAACTGTTATAACATAAAAATTTTATGGTAATTCTATTAAAATCCCGTTGAATAGAACGGTACTAATATATACGAGGAACAAAAATATTGATAAGTTTAAAATTCAGAGCAGCTAAATTAGTAGTTAAAGTTTTTAAGAAAAATAAGGAACTTATACGTAATAATTAAATTCAAATATAGAGTTCTAAGCCAATATGCATCTATATCCAATATATATGATGGGTGTTTCTGGAGCTAGATTCGCTAAAGATGTCAGGTTTAACAAATTTTTCGAAATTTAATTATTGTACTTAAAAGACCTTCATTGTTTTATCGAACTTATTCTAGTATCAAAATTTTTTATTACAAAAATTTCCAATTAATTGAAAGGTTCTTGAACTTTCTAGAAATTCACAATAAAATTATTTTTAAATTTTGTTAAAAATTTAGTTGATTGTTTTGTTCATAACACAAAAATTCTCTGAATAGTTCAGCGAAATTTTAATAACAATTGCATATTTTGTGGCGCTTTGTAAAACAAAATTCGTTAAAATGCAATAAAATTCGTTTTACTTTTCTCAATACCTTATGACGAACACATTTTCAGAAAAATTCTTCGATTTAATTTAATTTAATTTTTACAAGATTTATCAATTTTTAAGTTTGTGGTCAGTGCCTTTCTTAGAATTCCGAGGTTTAAATTAAAATCAATTGAGTGCCAGATCAACTCAAAATTAATTTATCCAAAATTTTTCAAATTTAAGAATAGGGAGTACAGTTGCAAACAAAACTACATACACAATTTAAATCAATTAATTTTTTATCACATTTTTAAGACCATTAAATTTTTTATTGTTGTTTTCGTAATATTTTCACAAATAATCAGAAAAGCTTCCTATCAGAAGCATTTCCGAGATGTGGTTTTTGATTTTTATCTTCTTTTTGTCTAAAATTTTTTCAATTAAATCAATCTGTTTAATCAGATTGGATGAGCAGAAAAAAAAAGTTACTATATTTTGTAAAATAAAATTCTAAAATAAGTTATAAAATGTTAAAATCACATAAAGAGTGAATAAAAAATGAATACTTTGTCTTCCGTTTTTTTTTTTGTGTTTTTTATCGGAATTCTTTCAAAAATGTCAAAAAATATAAAAAATAAATGGTCGTTTTCACATTTTCTGATATCAACTTTTTTGTTTTTGATGTTTTTTTTGTCTTCTTTTTCAAAATTCAAAAACTTTAAGATTTTAACCGGAAAGTATTTAAAAGAAACTTCGATTTTATCTGATTGGTTAACAAGTTTATTAATTTATTTCTAACATCAAAGGAATTTATTATGAGGCATACGACAATTTTAGATTGTGCTAGAAATTAGTATAGCACTTCGTAAATTCAGTTCATATTTTATTGTTGTCGAATTACCGAATCCAAGTAATAAAACTTATAATTCATTGTATAAAGCAAAGGTTTATGAATACTGTCTCGCTAGTGCGATCATGTTTTTATTACTAACATAGAATAAATTTTATACAATAGCACCGCACCGAACAAATAAAATTCAGAATGATTCGATTTTATTCATTCAGTTACTGTTGTCAATTTAACGGCAAGCACCATTACTATGAAAATTTTTTCAGCTCAATTGTCTTTTAAAGAAGTAAAGGAAGCTGATCAAAAATCAGTAAATATTTTTGCTCTAAAAGCTCTCAAAAAATTTCTAAATTTCATTGTGTAATTATCTTAAAATTTGCCGCATTGTGGCACTTTACATTTCCTACTATTTTATTGATCTAGAGAATCGTTTAAGTTTTATACAATTGACAAATGAGTAATAGCACTTCATGCCTCAGTTCGAATCTTGAGCGATTACAAATTTGTACTCGTTTTGTAATTGTAGATTACAACATTAAATTTAATTTTGGACTACATACATATAAAGACAGTAATTTTGAATTTTTCGAAATCGTAATTTTTATAAAAACAAAATGGAATCTTTAACAAAATTTGTCTGCATATTTTACAATTCCATAATTATACAACGAACCCATCAAATTCACAATATACCGCCTAATAAAATGCATTTAAAATATTGAAAGAAGATAAAAATTTTAAAATTATTAAAAAAATTACGCGTAGCTAATCTTAATTTTCAAACATAACTAATATAACAGTTCTAAATATGTTTTTAATGTGATTTAATAGCTAGATACAAGATAAATGTCTTAAATAATAAAGCTTTTCATATTTTTATAAAAACAATAACATGCTTCCAACTTTATCTTGATTGTGTCTCATATAACTGTTCTTTCATAGTAACTATAAGTGGCGCAGCAGTCGAAGATAAGAATTTCGATTGCCAACAGAAAAATTTAAAAAAAAAAAAAAAAATTAATTAAATCATTTTCGAATTTTTAAATGTTTTTTTGATTTTTTTTCTTCTCTTGCTACGGACTCGTTATTAAAATTTATAAGTAGACATAGTCAACTTAAAATAATCGAGTCTGTGTGTGTTTAAATGTGAGTTACTGGTTTGATTACTTTTTATTTTTTATATTTATGTGCCCTGATGCTGCGCTGTGTTATTTATTGATTTTTTATTTTTGGTTTATAATACCGGCGGGTTAACTTTTTTGAAAGTTTTATAAGAAAAAGAAAAATTTTTTAAACGCATAAATTTTTTTTTTTTTACAATATTATGAAGTTTTAATAAAAATATTTTTAGTTTTTTTTTTTTCGTTTTTATTGGAAAAAACTGAAATGAAAGCGTTGCTAACCGTTTAAAAGTACATACTTATTGTTGATTATAAGCAGTTATACTTATTAAACTTGAAAGTTTTGTTTTTATTTTTTGAAAAACGACAAAATATTTTAAAGAAAATAATAAAAAAATTTTGTATACTGGAACGAAAAGGATTGAAAAATATATGTTTTATACTTATGAGTGAATTATTTATAAAATAACTGAAAAATCCATAAAGAAAAAAAAAGAAAAAACAAGAAATAAGAAAAAAATAAGTTTTCACTTACCGTCTGGGCTGCCTTGGAATCGATTGTGTCCAACAAGCTATTGGTGCTTGTAATGATTGTTTTGTATTATGTCGACTTGACATATAATTTAGACCACCATTTTGTGATGGCCAAATTTTTAAACTACCTTCAGCTGGATAAAATGTATATAGACTATTCGTTGATGCTAATAGACGATTATTTTTTAAATCGATTAAATTACTATTATTTGTTGATAATGTTGGTTGTGTTGTCGTTATTGCTGTTGTATTTATTATAGCTGATGATGATAATGCGGCTGTGGCACCTGATCCAATTGAAGAAGAAAAAGAAGATGATGCAGCAACAGCAGATGATGGTAAAGAAGAAGAGGAAGAAGAAGAATTAATTGATGTTGATAAAGCTGTTGAAGAAACACCACCAACAATATTATTTGAATTTCCTATTATTGAATGTTGTATTGTTGATGATGTTATACCAGAATGAATATTATTATTATTATTATTATTATTTATGTTATTATTACCACCATTGAATGATGATGATGACGACGATATTACATTACGATTCATATATTTATTATTATTTATCATCAATGTATCTGGTATATTGGCAATTGATGTTGATGATGTTATTCCTATTGGTATATAAGGTAAATAAATAATTTTTGTTTTTTTCTTTTGTATCAGAATTGAATTGATGTATTGAACTTGATTCATGGTAAATTTTATGGGTAATAAAGATTTTCATAAAAAAAAATGATGGTGAATATAATATTGATCATGATGATTTTAAAAAAAAAATATCTAGTAATGATTTTTTTTTTTTCAAATATTTAATGATGATTGATAATCGTTTATCAAAATTACACGGTTTATTGAAATTTTGAGATTTGTTTTTATTTTCATTTTGAGTAAAGCATTATCAATGGAATGGTTGTGTAAAGAGGACGAGATTTTTGCATCATTATGCAATATTTTGTTGAATAAAAATAAAAAATAAAAAGGAAATAATACCGGACCGAACCAATGTTTTTTAAAGTAGCACTTTTTCCTTGAACAAACAATACTTTATATAAAAGCAATCTTATACTTGCAAATTATTCTAATTAATGTGCCAGAGTCATTTTATTTCAGGGATAAGAATAAATTGTTAGCTGTTTGTTTTTATAGAAATTTGAAAAAACAGGCAGCAATTAACTAGTTTCAAGAAGCGATAACTTGAAGGTAAGGGAGGGTGGCAACAAAAATTCCCTCCAACAAAATCTGCTAAAATAACAGACTTTAACAACTTATATGAAAAATTTAAAAAAAGGAAACCGTTTCTCACAATTTGAATTTTTAAGAAATTCAATTAACTACGTATTTAATTGGGTAGCACTACAGCAATTCGAAATAAGGCAGTATTCTTTGATATTATTTAATATTAAGGCCATTTTAACAAATTATGTATTTTATTCAATCAACAAATATAAGGCGAAATTATCACGGCACCCGTAACTGTAGTGCTATTTTATACAGTAACGGTATGAATAATTTTCATATTATATAAGTATTTTATATTCATATTATATTCATATTATGCCAAGGATTATTAATTTTGATTCTATAAAATATTCTTTTCAGGTTTTTTTGTATAATCACTTAGATTAATTAATGAAGAATAAGTTCTCAAATTGGTTATGCAATTAAGTTTGTCATTTAAAATATTAAAAATAATTTTGTATTTTAAGTGGGAGGAAAGACCACTCCGAAGTCTAAATTTAAATTTAATAAGGAGCAACAATAAAATATTTGATTGTTAATCGAAAAGGAAATGCATTGTCGTTATTTAGGAGGCAATAAACGATGGTGAGTATGTCAATTGCTGGTAAAACAGTTAGATCAAGTAAATTATATAGAAAAAAGATTTGATATTAAATAAATTGTTCCAACTATTCAAAAAATTTTTTAACCAATTTATAGGAAAAATTTAGATGAAGCCGAAATAGACCACATAATATTGTCAACAAATTCTCTTAAGGTAATTATTGATTCTTATACTATTTAAGGTTTAAAACATTATGTTAATTTTGGAAGACTTGAGATCAAGAAATATTCTGATTCTGAAACAATCAGATTCTTTTGAAAATGATTCGTATAGTTTTATTGTCATAAATGTTTAATATAATTTATCATTCAAAATAAAAACAAGTTTGAGTATAACTTAGTATATGTGTGTGTTATAACCATTTTATCAACAAAACTTGATTATCTTTAGACTTAATCAATTTATATAAAAAAACTCCACGATCAACCGTAAATACGAGTATATTTGAATCGTTAAATGCAAATGCTTTGTCCATTTTGTCTACTTCTTTTAAGAACTTAAGAATTATTGAGAAAAATTTGAAAAAAAAAATTTTTTCTTCATTTTAAATCACAATATATAGCAGTACTTTTTTTTGTTATTCTATACAGTAAAACTAAATTGATTCTTTTGAATCATTTATAATGGTGATTTTTGTATTATAATAGAATTTTTATATATGTATAGCAATAATCTATTGTTTGAGATAACTTAGAATTAGATATAATAAAAATGTTATAATAATGATAATCTAACATTAATTTATAGTACAATGTGCATTTGTATGTATACATATACGCGTGCTTTCATTTCAAAGGTAAATGCACCTGGGTATTGGTAATAAAGCTGTTAAAGCAATCAATTTTAATATAAAAAAAAATATTATAAAAACAGAGATAAAATTATGTTGGAAGTGTACAGGTAGTAGTATTCAAGATTGATAAAAGAAAATAGAAGCAAATCTCAAAATAAAATAATCGCATAGAAAATATATAAGAAAATCTGAATTAATTTTCATGTTCATAATGAAAATATTATTATGTAAAAAAAAAAAAAAAATAGTGTTAAAGAATTTCCTATTAAATTACCATTTGTATTTATTCCTGATATTCCTAATGTTGTTGCTGCTGCTGTAGGTATTATAATAGGCGGTGATGGTGCACGCATCTTTAATCGACGATATCCACGATTATTGTGATGCAATGACGATGAATATGATGATGTTGATGGTGATGAAGACGATGTACCTGTTATTATTCCATTTGATATTGTTGATCCATTTGAATGAACAATAATTCCTGATGAAGATAATACACATGACTTAGATGATTTAAAACCGCCGCCAATATGAGCACGATGATGATTTTGATTTTTTTGATAATGTTGCTGCTGTTGCTGTTGTATATATTTTTTTATTATACCGCTACTACTGCTATTACTATTATTATTATTATTATTATTATTAACGCCTCCAATAGATAATGCAATTGCAGTACCAGATGCTAATCCAGATGAAGATGTTGAAGATGACGGTGCCTTTAATTTCAATGCATTCGCGCAATTATTTATTGTAATATGTTTATTATTAGTACAACCGGTATTATTATTATTATTATTGATGGGTGGAGTAATATTATTAATATTACTATTCGAATTCGTTTTAACGATACCCGATGATGAAGAAATTATAATACGTTGTGGTGGCCCAGCACGTGGTATTGAAACTTTTGTACCAGAATCAACAATTAAACAATTTGTTGTTGGACGATTATTTTGTTTTTGTAATTGTTGTTGCTGTTTTGTTGAAGAATCACTTTGACGTCTTGTTATTTGTGTATGTTGTACACCATCACGATCTGTTAATTGAAGAACATCGAATGCACCCGATTCAGATGAAATTATTTTTGTTGATCCTGATTTGGTAGTTGTTATTTTTGCGATTGGTTGTGATACTTGTTGATAATTTTGTTTGGAATTTTTTGCTGTAACTGTTGGTGATGATGTAGTACTAGAAGATGATGATGGTGCAGTTGATTGTTCAGAATCTGTTGAAATACGATCTGGATCACTTTCGAAACCTTCATCAAGTGATCTGGTTGGACTTAAAATAGGTTTTGCTCTTTGATCAGAATTTTTATCCATATTGAATTTTTTTACAATTAATTATTTTTCAAATTTACTAAATGTAATATTTTCTTTTTTGAGGTTCACTTTTTTTATTTACACTTTTTTTAATAAAATTTTAATTTGGTTTTTCAATAATTTTTAAATTTATAATTTTTGTAATCCTTTTTAGTTGGAAGTCATTTTTATAAAATGCCACAACAATTTATTTTCAAAAGATTTTCTGTAATTAAAAATTAAAATAATTTTAAAAATTGTCAAAATACAAAAAAAAATTTTTGAAAAATGAATGAATAGACCAAGCACTCTGATAACTTTAATATTTTAAAATTAAAGACTTGATCAGTTTTTTTACAAAAGTAGATTTTTTCATGAATTCAATGAAAATTCAACCCCGAAAAAAATTTCAACTCTATACGATAAATAATTTTTGTATTTGAAAATTTGCTCCGAATGAAGTAAAAATATTCTTCTGATATTCTAAATTAAAAAATTTTCCGCATTTATACAAAATTTAAATTTAAGGTGATTACTGTCAACTACATGTCACTCATATTTCTTCATTCATTTTAACAAATCAAAATTGAGCTCATATTTTATAAAATATAAAACATTGACAATTTTTAAAATTAAATACAGTCCTCCACTTTTCAATATTTATTAAAATAATTTCGGTATTAATTAAATTGCAAATGATTTAGGATTTTAAAATTTCCTCAAGTTGTCCTAAATTTATTTCATATTTTTTGAGAGCTATTATACATTTATATTGAACAATTTTAAACGTAATCCATTCCGCCACACAGTTATATTTAGGGTTTTCAAAAATTCCAAAATTTTTTCACTTCTATTTCTAAATAATTTTTACCATATTAAGATGAAAAATCTTTAAAATAATATCGAAATTTTCCTCTTAGTTTTAAATATCACTTTTTTAAAACAATTACCAAAAAAAAAAAAATTAAAAATAAAAGTTTACAAATTTTTTAATTTTTCACTTAAGATGCACGAAAAAATTTTCAACTTCCTTCTAATTACAAAATAATAAAAAAAACAATTAAACGGTATTAAATAAAAGGAAAAAAATATATAATTTGCCACCCGATTTATATCAACTATTCAATACGACCGGTGAAACTAAACTGAATTTTAACGTGAAGGTAAAAGAAAAAAAAAGCGCATTTTCACATCACACAAAAAAATTAACCGTAACTGTATAACAATGTCTATATAATAGAAAATTACTCTACTCACTCAACGTTTTGCATTCCCCTTACAAATATTTTATTGTCTCTCTATACTGTGGTTGACTATCTCTCATCGCTAAAAATCTCACTCTATTGTAATTTATTAAAGTTTTATTGTTTACTCAACTTCTTGTGTTTTCCTTAAGCTTAGCTTAAATGCTCAATTTTGAATATGAAGTAAAAAGTTCATATAAAATATTGTATACGTAGTTATGTATGTATAATTCACCAACCAAGTAAATTGAATGAATAAGAGGTGAAATAACAATAATATGAAAAGAAAAGTTTTTATGCTCTTGCTAACGGAAAATTTTAGTAAATTCATCGATAACAGTATAACTACAATAATAACAAGAAATGATTTGGAGAATTCCATGGAAAACTTTGATTTTTTCAGGTTTAGATATTTTTCCAACTTAAATTTGAGAAAAATTGGAGAGTAATTTCAAAGTTTTTTTTTTTGAAGTAAGTGGACTATTACAGTATTTTTCAAAGAGAGTATTCAATATTATAATTTGAGAGAGATTAACATTTGTTTATTGTTAATAGAGAACATTGTTTGGTGAAAGAAAGTTGCTGGATAAGTAAAGTATATTTTGAGTGTATACGTTATATATGGATAAACCAATGATTTCTTATCAAAAACAGAGAGAGAGAGAGAGTATAATAAAATAAAAGAGCAAAAAAATGCAACATTGCAATTAGGATAGTGTGGTGTGGTGCACCATTCCAACTTAAGGTGAGTTAAGTTAAGATTTTTGTTGTTTGCTGTTATTTTTGGTATTTCACATGGGAATGTTGTTTTTGTTTTTTCGTTTTTCTTTTTTAATTTTTTTTTTTGTCAAGTAGAATAAACTTGTGTAGTGCAGCAGGTGGAAAGTTGTTTTTTGGAATTTTCTAGTTATCAAATTTTAATGATTCAATCGTATTTTTTTACCTTGTTCTTGTTATTCTGTTTTTTATTATAAATATTTTGTAAAGGAGAGTAAGAGACTGTGAGTGTTAATTTAACATAAAAAGAGAATCATAATAGTATTTTAGGTAGTAAGAAAAGAAGGAGAACGTGAGAGTTAATATTGAAATTTTTAATTTTTTTTTTTTTTTTTGTATATGAGAGAATAAAAACTTAAGGGGAATAAAAATTAATTTTCTGATTTATGAATGAAAATTCAAGAATTGTATCATGTATGTTATGTATGTATGTCGCATTTGGTACAATATGGAAAAATTTTGTGAATTACTTCAATTATGGAGTTTTTCTTAAACCCAAAAATATGAATGAAATATTTTTTGTAAGAAAAGTCAGAATTTATTTTTTTTTTGATGATTTTCTTCTACTACAATACAAGCAATGACATTTTATGCGGCAGACTGTTTGGAGTAATTATATGACGAGGTATTAAATTTGATAAATCTGTGAGTATTATGTGTCATATGTATATAAAATTTTATGCTGCCATGTCAAGTGCATAAAATTTTGAATTAAAATTTTGAATTACAGAATATTCAATTGTTTATTTCAATTGCCATTATACGTATAACAAAAAAAATTTCGTATGGATAGCACATTACCCTATTGCATTCTTAAAGTTTTGTAGATAAAAAATAGAACGAAGTGGAGATGCAAAGTGGGAGTCCTATTCTCCCAAGAGAGGAGTAAGAATATAAAAAAAATTACAAAAAAGCAGTTAAGAGCTTTCGAAATTCGAAAATTTTTATTGTCTAACAGTTACCAACAGTTGAGCGCAAAATTGATGATAACAAATAAATAATATTGAAAGACTCTTGACATGTCAATTTTTCTTAATTAAATTGACAATAATAATTATTGTTTAACTTACAATGTTCTTTTCATTGAATATAATTCATCATTCGATTTCATTTCAATTCGCTGAAGCTGAAATTCAGATAAAAAAAGTGTGCAAATAGACCGACATATCGCCAAAAATACTATCTTCAAGTTAATCTATCTATGATATGAAAAGTGGAACCTCTTAGGTATAATATTACTCCTAGTAAATGATTAATGAAAAGATTGAAGAATACAAAGTAGTGAATGAAAAAGAGAACTTAATCAATTCTTTTATTAGTAATTTTATTATTGTGGTCATGTTAGGCCATTATAGTCCTCGTTTTTTCAATATCACTCCATCTTCAATGTTGTATAGAATTGTTAAATTATTTGATTTCGTTTAAATATAAAAGTGCTGTCGTGCTGTTTTTTTTTATTTTAATTTTTATGAACATTTTTCTTAATTTTGTATTTTCATTTAAAAGGTTAATTTGCTATCTAATAGTATTTATAACATGTTTTCTTAATTTAATAAAATTATTTAAATAATAATCATATAGAAATGAAATGAAAAATATCCAAGAAACTTGTATGCGCTTCCATGCATATGTAGTAACATATGTGTATGTGTGCCTTTTGTATACAGAAAACCGACAAAATGTAAAAATAACGAAAATATTCAAGAACTTTTCCGGGATCATTTTCTACATTTTCTGTTTCTGTTTTTTTTTTTTCAAAATAATTATCTGTTCATACATAGTGACGATTATATTTGTATTAGCTACCGGTTTGATAGTTTGTTTAGATTTTTATAATGTTACAATTGCGACATGAACATTTTTACAATTGTTGCAGATTTTTTCGAATTTTCATTTATTTGTTCTGGTAAATTTAAAGTTAATATTAAAACAGTTGCATAATAACTATGTACGAGTGTGTACTCACACATGTGGATATGAGTTGAAATGTATGTATGTATGTGTTTGTTAATTTTAAAAATTTTATCTTTAATTTTTTGATTTTCTTTATAGATATGCACATTATATTAATATAAAATTATGTATAACAGATATGTATGAGTGTTTGTAAGTGTGTGCTTTTGTTAATATTTGGTGATAGTATAGGATTGCCAATAGTCATTAGATTTTCTTTTTAAACATAACTTGTCCTTTTTTCTTTGTCGCAAGAGAATCCTGTATGTTTGTTGTTTTTTGTTTTAGTTCTACATTGCACTTAAAATATTTAAACGAAATATTCTACATTGTAAAAAACATATTTAAACGAAAATTCAAAAAATTTTCGCAATAAATTTTCAATTGAAAAAAAAAATGTACTTATTAGTTTCACTCTGAACATTGTCCCTAACATAATCTAGAGCAAAGATTAGCTAATGGTAAATATAAGTATTGTTGTTAAGAAATATTACTATTATGATTTTTAACTAGCCTAATGGTCTGGAAAAATCTTTTAATTGATGTATTAATAGTTTCCACTTTGCTCACAAAATGAAATTATTACTGAAATTATTGTACTTACAAACGCTATCAAAGACGATGTAGAGTACCGGAAACAAAAAAAGCAAAAAATAGCAAACTTTTTTGAAATAATTAATGTTTTTCCAAAAATTTTCAGTTTTCTAAATCAAAATTTCATGTTTCAGAAGCTATTACTCGAAAACGGAAAGACTGACATTGACCATGTACCATTACCGTTTTGTAGGTATTTTTACACTCAATACGTATTGCACTAGCTTTGATAGCTCTGAAGTCGTTATTAATACTTTCCAGGCAGAATGTTTTCAATCTGAAATGTTTCAATCTTTTCCTAAACTCTCCAAAACTATTCCTAGACGTCTGAATTTGCCTTCCGTCGTATGAATAATTTTATTTCCTGAAAAGCTTCAAATAATCACCCCCAGAAAGATTTCAGATTATTTCGGTTCGAGACTAAAATCTTCAAAACAATTCCAAATCTTCTAAAATCGGAAATCTTCAATTTCTCAATTAAAATATTGTAAATTCAATTCTTGTTTTTTGATTTTGGCAACCCTAACCTTAAGTATATTATTACAATTTTATATGCTGATGATTTTTAAATTCGTTTCAATATTTTATGGTTATTTTTTTTTCTGCATTTTACAGATAAAGAATTATGCAATTAGAATTAGAATATATTTTAATCAACACGATATTTATACATGACATATATATATATGTATAACAAAATAATAACTGATACAGTTTTATAGAAGAAAGAATTGGTTTTATAAAAGTTGGTTCGTGCCATGAAAATATTTAATTGATCTTCTACGTAGCGCTGTGCATTCATAAAATGTTTATAATGGAGACACACTCCTATATGGAATACAGATTACTGTTCTTATATTTTAATATTTTAAAATATTTTCTAAATGGAGAAAGAATTAAATCGTAGATTCTAAGATGGTGTAATTATGGTGACGAAAATGTTGTACGAACAGTAATATTGTATATAAATTTATTAAATTGCAATTGAGGAATTCAAATTTACATTTACATCATCAGAAGGAGCAGAAAACTGAAACTAAATGAAATGCTCAAAAAAATAAATGCTCAAAGAATTAATTTCAATTAACTAAGGATTTTAATTAAATCCTTAGATTAACTATTCAAGCTACAATCGCAACATTTCTTAGTGTAACAAGACCAAATTTTAATTATCAAAATTTTGACAGAAATGCGTTTCTCCCTACTAAATAACTGCTATTATAAAGAAGACTTCGGTCTGAGTCACTCGACAAACTGTTGCATTCCAGTTTTGATACATCTAAGTCTTTGCGAATGGGTCAACTTTAATGGTTCTTAAAATTCCAATTTTGAAAGTCTGTTCTATTTGTTCATACAAGTACAAGCGTTCTATTTGGTAAGAAAACTTAATAATTAATGCCGGAAACTAAACCTGCACTACAAGCCAAATTGAACTTTTTGAAAGTACCTATATTGACGACACATTTCGCTGAAAAAAATACACAATCCGATCGCTTATGTGCGCTCTATAACTATATCAGCTTTGTTTTCTAATATAAGATTAGAAGATAATCTGAAATTTTTAATATTTAA